CGAGTGATTCCCCCAGATCTGTCCATTTCTTCTTAAACTACGACAGAGAAACGTCGGCCGAACGAACGAGGAGAGACGAACGGCAGTCGGGCGCACGACGAGATGAACGCCGGGCGGAGGGAGCGTGATTGAGGGACAAACGATGAGGGAACCAGAAGGTAACAGCGAAATTTGAGGAGACCTGCGGCAGTTGCGTTGGTTGTAAAGGAAGAAGACGTGGGTGTATAGGTTATTAGGGTTAATTAATATTGTTTTAATATTAATTATAATTCCCTAAATACCCTTTCTAACTAATTAACCTATAACTTCCTAATAACTAGCTACAAGCCCAACAACCAATTGAATTGCTTTAAGTTTCTCCTTAAGAAATAGGCCGGGAACGGCTACGGTGCTAATTGTACAATAGTTAGCACCGTCCTAACCAAGGGAAAAACTACTACTAGTTTGAATTAGTAGTGATTTAATTTAGATGTTGTATTGATTTTATAATAATCCGTAGTGATTTTTGCTAGTTATCACGGTGCTAACCCCTATAAGGGTTAGCACCTAATCCCATTCCAAATAGGCCTTAAGAACTAGAACTCAGGCCTGCCATATGGGGAAAATCCCAACATACCTTCAATAACCAGGAAGTTTAACTAGCCTTCGAAATATAAAACAACAAATAAGTACAATAATAAATTCTTACCTCGTTAAACTCTAAATTATTAAGGTGGTCCTGACACATTAATAACGAGTGTTGTGGGTGTTGGGCTTTTGTGGTAATTACACTCAACCTAAGTAAATGACATTGAACTCCATAAAATGGACATTTTGGATTCATCAAACATAAACAACATGACTAAGATAAACTAACATGACTAAACATAACTAACATGACTAAGATAACTAACATAAATAACACGACTAACATAAAAGGGCTTGAACTTGACTAGTTATAAATGTATAAATATGACTTCACTAGAGTTGGAATAATTTACCTTGCACCATTAGGGGCCTAGTTTAGGAGTTCGTCGGGAGCTCAATCATTGGCAGGACAGTATGGTGCAAATTTTGAAAGGTGCTCCCAAGCCCAAAGTTGGATGATGAACATGGCACCACTAAAATGCTTCGTGCTCAGGTTTGTACACTAGCAAAGCTCCGCGTACACAATGGCCAAGCATGTAGATCCCTACTGTTACTTCTCATCCCAATCTCCCAAAGTAGTGGGATCCACATGAAATGTAAAAACCTATTGGACTTGTTGGTAAACAATACTCCCCCAATCAAGCTTATAAGGTATATGTGAGCATATCTCTCCACCTCCTCCGCCATGAAATTTTCACCCAACTCTCTAACGTGTTTTGTAAGCCAAGGATTGAGAGCATTAACTTGTGAAGTGGATACATTTTCGATAATTAGCATCATAATACCTTGAATTTATGCTATGATTTCTTTAAGTGTGTTCTAGCAACCCTAGGATTGCTTTTATACGATCGATATGCTTTTGGTATAGTTTTGTGTATTTTAAGGTCAAAGCAAACCAATGGGCCACTTGTAATCCGTAAGGGACATCAAGATTGATTTGATGGAGCTGGTATTCGAAGATGGGATGCCTGGAAGAAACAGTGCCCGGAGCGCCATTTTGATGAAGAGAAACACCAAAAATGGCACAGTTTTAGAGAAGCCAACCACTTCATCAGGAAGTCATCTTGAAGCCTCCTAATTCGCTGGCCACGTATTTGGAGAATCCTGATTGGTTGAATGTCGTTGGAGCTGCGAATTTACCTCATCAAGCCTAGTCAAAGGCCTTTAATTAGGTCCCTAGAGATAGGAAATAAAGGAAAATGAGACAAGAGGTCAAGGAAGGGTCGTTAGTCTACAGATAGAGAGACTCTCTTGACTTAGAACGAGACCAACCTACGAGGGAGAAACGGTGCTCCTAGGCATGTTTTCTCTATCATTGGTGTCATTTCCTATGGGTGTTCTGGTGTCTTCATTTCAGTCGATGTACACCTTGGAACCCTTCACCATGGCTCGCTAAGTTCCTTAGTTGCATAGGTATGTGAATCCTATGGGTTCTAACCATGTAAACTCGATGTTTGGTTTAATATGATTGTGTTTATTTCATATGTGTGATTTTTTATCTCCTCTATTTTGTATTTCTCGATTCGAATGATATCTTAAGTCGACCTTGCACTCCTTCGAAGTGCAAGGATCGAAATCCAAGTCAGTTAGGATGGAACTAGAAATAGCTTTCCTACTGGATCAAATATCATTGGATCGAATGGTGTGATGCCTCAAGGGAGAGATTTGACATGTCCTTGTCTCCCGTTACTTTGGGTAATTACTTTGACACAAGGTGGGATCTAGTGAAATAAGAAATCGGAAGCTCATATGCCATCGATCATCGAGGGAGGCATGGTCAGCAGACCTAGTGGAGCTTGCCTTTGCAATGCCTTCCTTCTTTGATCTCTCACTCATCCATTAGTATTAGATTTACTTTTCCGCACCACCTTACTTTTTGAACTCTTATGTTATGCAAAAGCTAGAGGCACCTCAACCTCCTAAACACGATCTCTTCTTCAATAGAGCCATGCCTCGCTTCCGAAGTAAAGGTTATGCAAGAGACCCTAGGGAAATACGATAATGGTCTTATAGCTAGGTAAATTTAGCTATTTTCAACAACTGGTCAATTTTTTGCACCATTGCCGAGGACATCTCGCAATCTTCAAAAAAGGGAACGAGGCACACATTCTATTGTCTTTTTTTAAATTCTGATTTTACTTTTCTATTTCGTGTCGAGTCAATGTTTGTACCTTTCAAGGAATAAGAAAACCGGCATCTGAGGTGCTGAATTTCCTTCTAATTTTGATGCTCGGAGCATCGTTCTTGGTGGAGGTTTTTTTCGAGTAGTGACCACATCTCATCCTAACTTGCAACTGTCCACTCTCCACATTAATCTACACCAACATGAATTGAGGTTTTAGGAGCTTACGAGCCTAGAACCATGGATAGTTGGGCATCATTCAAGTTTGGCATGCTCGAGGCACGCCAAAATGCGTTTGAGATGGTTGGCCTTATTGATGACTATGGGGGGATAGAGAACTCCATCATGCAAGAGATCCAATACATGAATCCCTTCCTTGGGTTCCCTCATGAGAATTCGTTCAACCATCTCTAAAGAGTTCAAGAGCTGTTTGAATCTAAACAACATTTTGAAGGGCACCTCATACAGGATCATTACGCTTTTTCCCTATACTCTAACTCATGGCGCCAAGAGATGGTTCAACAAATTGCCCTGTGAATTCGCCCTTACTAGGTAAGAGTTAGTTCAAAAATTTCTCAAAAAAATATGCTCCGATATGGAGCAACTATATGCTAGCACAACGAATTCTAAATCTCAAGCATGGGGATCCAGAGCCTCTCTATGAAGCACGGGAAAGATACATGGGGTATGTCGATGACCACCCCAGTCATAAGTTTGAGCCCATTCAGCTCGCTCATAAGTTCGCTGATGGACTGAACCATGAGTAAGAGCAATTTTTACACTGTCTCTGGGGGCAATATCTGATAAGTTCCCAAGAATCAAATGATGGGGCAATTCGCATATGTCACTGAGATATCTCGAAGGAGGAGTGTACTCATGCCTCCAGGAAAAAGCTAGCCTTCTAATGGACATTCAAACTGGTGAACAAAAGGCGACCCTAGCAATAGGATCGTCGATTACCCTCAACACATGGATACTCCCCATATCAACCTATGGGGAGGCATCAATAATCTAGTCACCACTAGTAGAAACTGTGAATTTAATTTCCTCGATCGAGACAAAAGCTCCAAATAAGAATCAAACCATAGAGGAGATGGAACACAACCTCACCATTATTTAGGCCCACCTGATACAGATGGAAGCCGAATTCGTCAATTTCGGCAACGTCCTGACCAGCTTAGGTGGTGAGGAAGCTATTCTGCCCCTACTAATGGAAACCTCAAAAATTCCAAACCTTATTCAGGCATTAGGAGGTTTAGTTATAAAGGAATAACCTCATGACTCCACGCCACAGATGCTTATCTCCAATGATGTACCGCCGGACATCCTTATCAAGTCCCCATTAAAAGAGTCGGATCTGGGGAGGTTAAGCATTTTGTGTAATATAAATGACTACTACATACAAGATGTGCTTATCGACGCTAGATCCAACGCCAATGTAACGCCTGTTGCCACATTGTATGTTGGACCTTGCTTGTTAGACCTTGTTTGTGTTGTTTGGAGTAAGTACAGGTGGTGTATGATCCAAAGCAATTTGACACCCTTGAAGCCACAAGACAACAACATCAACTAGACTCTCCGACTACTTGCACGTGAGAGGGAGCTAAGGGTATTAAGGGAGCGATTGTTGAATCGGGCTCAACCCAAAGTTCAAGAAGGAGTTCAAGCTGAATAAGAGGATGTAATACCCCGACATTTGAATGCAGGTTTGACCATAATTAATGAACGACTGAATTGAAGGTTACAGACTAAGAGATACAATCGTGGATTAGGAATAATGATAATAATCATATAAATAATAGTTATTATTATTAATTATAATTAAGGGAGAAATCAACCTCACCCGTTACTCTAACTCTCGCTCTCTCTCACCCCCTGTTTAAGTCTCTCGGAGTCCATGAGATTAGCTTAGGGTTTACTTTAGGTTTGGTTTAGGTTAATTTTAATTCTCGATGGGAGGAGTGGCTTAGGAAATTTAAAAATCATGCAGGTATTACCCAACCTGTAGTAGCGTAAGACGGGGCATGAGTATCTACTTTCAACACGCCCCGTTCTTTGACCATTCTATCTTAATTTCCAACCATATCTATTTTTATTTCTTTGACATATTCTGACTTTAGTTCACCTAGTTATACTTGATCTTTCAACTACTTAGGCTCAGTTACCCATTATATTATCATTATTTTTCATTCATAATAAAGTGTATTATTTTCAAACAACATATAAAAATAAATCGATCAATCCCACTTCATACCCGAACAGGTATTACCCGATCCGAATCGCACTTAATATGAGACACATATTAATATTGAGATCCACCCGTTTGCCATCACTATGTTACATTAACATTTCAGGAATCTTTTTTCCGTCAAAGGTGCAGTCTTGTTAAACCAAAACCGGGATTTTGACAGTAGAATTAATACACTGAGAGGTGGTGGCTTTCAAAAACTTGGAACACATTAAATGAAACATAACATATACCTCCAAATCCAATTGTGAGACTGAGAGTTATTTCTTCGACCCTTCCTTCCCCTCCCTCCAGCTTCCCCGAACCAGCCCTTGAAGTCACCATTAGTAAGTCTCTGCCCAACTTTAACCGGAAAATTCTTTGTTTGGACAATTCCAGTACTTTGGAATTTTGGATTCATGGAGTCAAAGGCACCATCTTTGATTTTTCAAACTCCCTCTGCCCCACCCCCACCCCTTATTTAAACTCCCACCCTCCACTTGAGCTGCTCTGATCCATCCATCCATTCCTCCATCAGTTTCAGTTTCATCAATCAATTTCTGCTTGCCCCTGCCAACTACTTTTCTTCTCATCCATTCAGCTTAGCTTCGTTGAACTCCAACACAACACAACACAAGGTGAGGAAATTTAATTAATGCCTTCCCTTCCTAACCTAATTTACTGCTAGCTACCTTGATCAGCTGATGATTGCCTGTGATCAGTCGTCTGTCTTAATTTCGTCTTTTGCCTCCTTTCTTTTGGGTTGTGTTCTCTACTTCTCTTTATGTTTGCTAGAATGCTTCTTCTTCTTCTTCTTCTTAATCATCTTCATCAGTTTTCCTCTCCAAGATTGTTCCCTCCCCCGATCGATCACTCTTGTCAGCACATGCACCCTAGCTAGTGAAACATTGAAATACACTATCTTATCTGGGTCTGCTTAATTCCTTCCTGTGATTGAACATTGGAGTGGAAGGCCAAGCTTGTGTTCTGAGTTCTATCGAGTTGACCGAAAGCAGGGTAGTAGTGGTTGGTTTCCATCGAGTTGAGTCACCGAGTCAGAACTGAGTTAGTTAGTTCATCTCCTCCTGAGATGGATCTCGACCGTCAGATAATTTCGTCGTCGGCGTAACTCCTCTCATCTACTCTTCTCCCAGTCGCTGTCTCGCGTCTGTGTAGTGTTTGTTTCTGTAATATTTATTTCGTTTGCCTGCCCTCTTTCTCCCACCACCCTCCATGACCAGTCCTTGTCTGGCGGCTTTCTGTTCTCTGTCATTTTTGTTTGACATTATTGTTTAATGTATATACGTTTCTTTGCGACGTACGGATTGCTATTATTATTGCTATTATTTTATGAATTCGGGTTTGATATTATTAAATTAACTACTGGTTGGTTCGTATTTTTTTATATATATGGAAATGGTCATTTCCTTCCCACTTCGTTGACAAGTAGCCAAACGACAAAAAAAAGTAGCCAAAAACTCAACGACATCTGACTGAAATATATAAACAAAATAGTCATTTAATTTATCGCTTGTACCCAGTCCCAAAGTACTGCTTTGACACTTCAACAAAACAGTTACCACCGAATCCCTCCCCTTGTTTCGCCCCAAATTGGGCAGAAACCAACAAAAATTTACGTAATAGTTTTCTCGATTGTCGTGTCAGATAATAATAATACTATTATTATTGTCATATTTGTTTTGCGTGATTGGTCTCTGTTGACCCATTGTATCGTATGTTCTCGGTCTAGATATTGATGCATTAATTTAATTGTTTTTGCATGGCTTTGGGCTTTTGGCAGATAATTAATAAGGTTTAGCCACACCATTAAACGGGATGATCGTGGTGAGGACCCCAAGCTTCGGAAGGTTAGAACATGCAAAGAAACCTCTTGCTGCTCTCACAGCCAAAAACAACAACACCATCATCATGGCCAACAACCACCCCCAGGTTCTTCTGGGAAGGTCAATGAGTTTCAAGGACTGGGAGGAGGAGGAGGAGTGCATTGACAACAACAACAACACCAACACCATCATGACCAAGAAGAAGCAAACCTCGTCGTCGTCGTTAGTTCACGAAGCGATGAGCATAAAGAAGCCGAGCATTGTGGTCCCCGAGCCGGTGGTGTTCTTCTCCCCGCGGCCGGCCAGCGAGCTGGACGCCGCCGCGACGACGGTCCAGAAGGTGTACAAGAGCTACCGCACCAGGAGGAACCTGGCCGACTGCGCGATCGTCGCCGAGGAGCTTTGGTGGAAGGCGCTGGATTTCGCCGCCCTGAGGAGGACCTCCGTGTCCTTCTTCCACGGCGACAAGCACGAGACGGCCGTCTCCAAGTGGTCCCGTGCGGCCAAGAGGGCCGCCAAAGTTGGCAAGGGGCTCATGAAAGATGGCAAGGCGCGGAAGTTGGCGCTGCAACACTGGCTCGAAGCGGTATGTGTGTCCAATTGTCGATTAAAATGTTTTATTTTTCCATTAATTTAATTTAATTGCGATTAATTAATTAATTAATTAATATTTATTATGAATAATTAAAGAAGTAATTAATGTTGTATTATGATGCGGTTTCCAGATCGACCCACGCCATCGATATGGACACAATCTCCACTTGTACTACGATGTCTGGTCTGGCACCAAAAGCACCCAGCCTTTCTTCTACTGGTAAATAATTTCATTTCCACCAAATATTAATTAATGCATTCCTCCTACAAAAGAAAAAAAAAATTAATGCATTCCTATCCTAATATATATGTAGTAATAATGAGATTATGAAGGAATTTGTTCGAATATTATTCATGAAATGACCGAGTGGCTAAATATTTTGGATTGTATGTTGCAGGTTGGATATAGGAGACGGGAAAGAGGTAAACCTGGGGAAATGCCCGAGGGTCAATCTGCAGAAGCAATGTATTCAGTATCTTGGGCCGGTGAGTAGTTTGCGTTCACACTTCACTTTGTATATTTTGAATTATTAGATTAAACAAATTTTATGGTTTGGGTTGAATAATTAAGAACTAGGGTTCCACTCATTAATTAGAGATTATGATATAGTATCATGAATCAAACTTCGATTAGTTCGTGATCTAAATAATAATAAAGCGCAGTAAACTTATAATAAGATTAGTGTACGTACGCCAGACATACGCTAAACTGAACCATATATAGAACGATAAAGTTGATCACTATCTACGTGAAATTGCAGAAAGAGAGAGAAGCTTATCGAGTGGTTGTGGAGGACGGGAAGCTGGTCTACCTCCAATCAGGAACGCCATTGACCACGAGCGAGGAGTCAAAGTGGATATTTGTGCTGAGCACAACCAGGAACCTGTACGTCGGGCAGAAGAAGAAGGGCAAATTCCAGCACTCCAGCTTCCTCTGCGGCGGGGCCACAACTGCCGCCGGAAGGCTCGTCGCCCACCACGGCGTTCTCGAGGTTCGATCCCCCACTAAAAACCCCAATTTTTTTTTCGAACTAACAATATTACTATATTGCCCTTATATCTGTACTCAACTCACTCACTCGCGTAACTTAAAATATAACAGGCAATCTGGCCGTACAGTGGGCACTACCTCCCAACAGAGGAAAACTTCAAGGAGTTCATCGGCTTCCTCGATGAACACAGCGTGGATTTGACCAACGTCAAGGTACCATTAATCCCGTTTCTTCATAATTATTAACATCTAAACTATGAAATCAAATTAAAGTAATAATAATTAAGCAAGCATTTTTTTTATTGTTAACAGAGGTGCTCAATAGACGAGGACAGCATATCGATCATTCCAGAAGAACACAAAACAGAAGGGGAGTCGGCGGCAGAGGTGACGGAGGAGGAGGAGGAAGGAGTTGTTGAAGGGAAAGAGGCAGAGGAAGCAGAAGCGGCGATGGCGGTGGTGGTGGAAGAAGCGAAGGCGGGAATGTTTGACGCGTCGAGGAGGCTGTCGTGCAAGTGGAACAGCGGAGTTGGGCCGAGGATCGGGTGCGTGAGGGACTACCCGCTCGAGATGCAGTCCAGGGCCCTCGAGCAGGTCAACTTGTCTCCCAGGCCGAGTCCAGATTACTCACACAATCGGCCCATTCCTTCCCCGAGGCCCAGCCCAAGGATTCGACTCTCCCCTCGGCTTGCTTACATGGGCCTTCCTAGCCCAAGGGTTTCCGTCGCCTCTGCCTAATAGTTAAGCTTCTCTCTTCCTGCTACAACTATCTTCCCTCGTTCAACGCCTCTTGCTCTTTTGTTTCTCGTTTCTTTAATTCTTTCCTTCTTTTTTTTCCTTCTTTTGTCTAACTTTCTAGATTGTTCCTTAATTCTTTTCCTCCCTTTATCGATAATGAAATCTTGATAATAAGATGTATATTAGGGATAAAAGGTGTCCTAGTTCTAGGGAGCTTCTATTACTTGTAACTCAAGTAACTCATGTAATCCTGGTCTTAGTGGTGTTGCTCTTTGTTGTAATCTCGAGTTATAAATACCCTACAGCTTCCTAATAATACAAACCAGGTTCAAACTTTATTGTGGTACAAAGTCTTATTGTGTGTTAGAACACAAAAATCCACATATCAAAACCGAGAGATGTTATGTTCTCTCTTTACCCTCAATATTCGGTCCTTTGATTGCTTTGAACTCTAAATCTGTGAGCTTCGCTCGTCGGCGCATCATAAAATAGCAAAATCGGTGGTATTACCATTGAGTCAAACCCTTGAGACAGAGGAAACTTAGAGAAGAAATTAGGGCTATAGCCCAAGGAATTGGCAATGCAAAACAAGTTCTTACAAAGAGGCAGTGCAATAGGATATGTATGATGGCGTTGCAATTGAAATGCTAATGAAATATGGATCGAAAGACCACATATATTTATTTATTTTTATGTTACTGTCAGATTGTAATCCCGTTATGAGTAACTTAATAAACAAATAAAAATAAGTGAGATTAATGATTCAAAATATGATTTACTATAGCAAATCAATTTAAAACATCCCTATATTAATATAATAAAATCATATCATCCTACCCCAAAAAAAATCATATCCACTTAGTCACTAATACATAATTTTTCCAGCAACCAACGAATGCTTGACATTATAAAAAAATTATACACTTACTTTTGCAGCCACGTGTGAAGAATTACTCGGCAGGAAAACCCTCTGAAGCTTGCAGCTTCGATGGGAAGAAACCTAGAATTGAGGGATCTAACAAGGAATCTGACAAAATGCAAGGACCAGCTTTGAGATTATTTCAAAGAACAAATTCTGAGACATCACTTCACATGGTCTAGTCCAGCAAAAATTGGCAAACTGAGCTTCATTTAGTAAGGTAGTCAAAGAACTAGCCAACTAATGACAGGGTGGATGAATATCACGAAGCTCTTGTTGTACAATGGCTATGTGTTGGTTGTACTCCTCTAACATTGTAACCCTCTCCTGCTGACAAGCAAGTAGGCTAACAAAAACAAAAAAATCATTCCACCTAAAAACCACCCCATTCCATGAACTTCTTGACTTCATCATACAAAACAAGTATAGCAGCGGCACCAGTGCTTCTAAACATGTTGGAGAGAGCACCACGGTAAAATGAAGCTACTCCTTCCGTCCTGTAAATTGTTCTCCAACAGTCACCTGTGTTGCGGTACATTGGTTGCTCCGACCCAGATTGCATCATCATTCGCCTCCGAACTGTATCCAATGGATAGGAAAACAATCCAGCAGAGGTTGTTACAGCCTGAGCCACCAACCAGCGCATCCACAATGGCAGCTCGGGTTTGGCTTCTTCACACAAGATCTCCTTCATTGTATCAAACCCACCAAAATACAAACCTCGATGGACGACCATCCCTTGTAGTGAGGCAGGAAGACCTCTGTATATCCCGCGAATTCCCTCTTTCTTTCTTATGGTTGTAAGGAAATGATACACGCCTTTGAACTCACGAACATCAGTTCTGCCAATGTCAGCAGCAAGGCGTGTGTGTGCGATATCTAGTGGGTATATTATGATCAAAGTTGTGCAGCCTGCAGCAGACCCAGCAATGAAGTTGGCTGATGGGCCGGCAAAAAATTTCCCATCTTGACCAGGACTTCGTAATACGTTTCTGTACAAATCCTGCAAGATGAAAAATCCAAGGGAGAAAAATCACAGGAAGAATTTGTCCAGGTAAAGCAATTCCTGGTCTAATAAGCCTAAGCAGGATCAAAAGACTCGTTTTTTGGATTGATCATGTCTTAAGACATTTCACACGTTTGTTTTAGGCTAGATCCTAACTGGAACGCTAAGATCCGACATTGTCGCTCATAATCCAATTACTTTACTGAAACTAAACCTTACAGGCAAGCATTTCTGGTGTCATTTGACTTTCATATTTCTGTTTTTTTTTTTTTATAATCTATTTTGACAAATAAGAAATCAAATAGCAATATATTAGCCAGGGTTTTCCAACAAAAAGAGAGAAAAAAGCAACAAATACATCCATAGGTACACTGCTTTTCTCCATTCTAAATTTTTTAGCTCAGTTGAAGGAAACCCTCTAGCTAGCTAACGTTGACAACTTGACAAAAGTGTCCTATGAAATCTGATGACCATTTTCTGACCACCTCGTATGCAAATGCAACGTTATACTTCCATCTATTTTAAGAAACAATCCCAGGACAGATACTCACCGACCTACATACTAACTATTGGGAGTTCACCTCTTCAGGCCTTCAATTTGTCTAGGATAAGTATTTTCCACCTAGACCCCGATTCTTCCATTCAATTTCTATTCAAGAGGCCCATAATACCCACTTCATTTTGATAAGCTCCCTATGCTATGGGGTATGACTACCATAAGCATTCTATCCAGAAGAGGTTCCAAGGCAACTGAATAATAAAGCTTCACTGCTTCAGAAACCAAATCAAGAACTTTTGGCATTATCACGACAAACTTGAAACAATAATAACCAGGCTTCAAACATCCATCAGAAGGTGACTACACAAACTTTCTGGTATATCCCTTTTGTTGCAGCATCAGGATCAAAATTCCACCTGCCTGCCACACACAGCCTGAAAAACATTCACTATTTTTCTTTGAACAGGGCCACATGTATGTGAATGCCAGTTTATTGCTCCATCTAATTCGTCAGGACAATCCTAAAACAGATACTCACCTCACTACATACTAACCTATTAGACTTTCATCACTCCAGGGCTACCATTTGTCAACTAGTCTAGGATAAGTAGTTTCCACCTGCACCCGATTATTCCATTCACTTTCTCTCCAAGAGGCCCATTAATACCCGTTTCATTTTGATAAACACCTAAATGCCATGGGGTATGACTACAATAAGAATTCCGTTTGGAAGACATTCCCAGGTCAACTGAGATAAGCGGATCAAAGCTTCAGAAACACAATTCAGGGATTTGTGGTGCTATCACGACACACTTGAAACAATAATAACCAGGCTTCAATATCCATCAGCAGGTGACTAGATAAACTTTATTGTGTATACCCATTGTGGCAACATCAGAATAAAATACCAACTTCTGCAAATCTAATACCTTAACTAAAAGGGAACCTCACATTTCACCACATCCTATTTCAGGATTTTTCACATTGATCAGTTTAGATTTTATGAAAGAAAGCAGCCAATGCATTATTGATGAAATCTAAACTACTGATCTGTTTCTCACAAACACAGCAGTATAAGGATATACCAAACAACACAAGTTCTCCTAGACAAAGGTCATAATTTGGAAAGAACAATCTCTGAACCTTCCCTTGCTTCAAAAAAGAAGCATTTAAGAGATTTTGGGTAGGGTTTCATAAGAGTTGATCATATGAAGAACTCTACATCACCAGCTAAGCAATCGTGTGAGGTAGTTTTAATTATAGTAAGCGTCAAAAGAACCCATTAAGCATGAATAGAGACCTAACCAGTAACAGGCATCACTTAGAACTATGCCTAAGTCATGATAGAAATGATAAGGACTTAGATAAGAGGACCAAGAACCCATATCGTAAGTGCCGTCATATTCCTTGGTTACGACTTACGATCCTCGAGCATGGTTAATGTTGCAACGTAGAAATGAAACAAAAACCTTCTTCCCTTCCAAAAAAACATGCATCTTTACATGAACAGACATAAGCTCGATAGCCAGGCAAGCCGAAGGAAAATAAATTGTCATGAAACAGAGAATTCAGAAGTCTCAACTTGACTATGATGAACATGCCAAACCGCCGCCCTCCACCAACACCCACACACATGTTTCAACTGTCTATCTCAAACGTCAGATAAATAATCCCATCATTTGTTATAACGTTGAGACACTATATCAACCACCTCAAGTGCAAAATATCACAAAACCAACAGAATCAGACAAAAAAATGAAGGAGGTTTCTGATTAGTGTGTACCTTGAGAGAGAAGTTGAGAGCAACAGAAGGATAATAGCGAAGGACGCTACTGCCATTGCCTCTCCAGAGTGAGAGAATTCCTTCTTCCCTCACCGTTCGGGCAAGACAATCAACCATGCCCTTGAATTTCCTGTGACCGCCGCCCAGAATGGCCATGTTGCTCTCCTGGGTTTGCAACAATAGCTTCGTTCTTTCTATGGGAGCAACAATGGTGTGGACCACCCCAGCCATCACCGCCCCTGCCATCAGGTCTCTGGGAAAGCTCACTAACCATTTGTGAGGGCCAGATGTCGATTGTAGGTCAGATATGCTCTTGCTTTCTCCTGGGTCGCTGTCACCTCTGCTCATTCTCCCCGATTCCTTAAGTAAGAAGACGAACGGGAAGCCTTTTTTCTCGTGTTATGGCCGAAGTCGATGCTTCTAACAGACTCCCTCTATCTCAAAGCATCGTCATTTCATTCCGTGTCGAACCATCACAATTTAGAAACCCCCCCTCAAATCGGGAAGCAATAAGAGAAAAGAAATGATTGTTCTCCTTCCTTATCCATGTGCAGAAATGGCGGAAAATTTCTGAATGATCCGTTCCATTACTTGAGAATCAATGGCGAAAGATCACCTTTTGTCGTGATGGCCCTGGAGAACTCGGAAACCTAGCCAAAATTGACGGCGGCGTCGCTTTCGTGCGCGGTAGAGATGAAGGAGAACGAGCTCGTTCGTTGTGACTGGGATGCGATTTCTTTCTGGTTCTTTTCTTTTCAACAATTAAAATGACCATTGAGATAAGGATCTATTTCGCCTCTCCATGATCAAAAGGTGTCAGAACGTGTTTAAATCGTTCTTTGGCTTTGTTTTAGCGATGGTAAAAATATCCACAATCATCCGAGTTTGATTTAATTGGGTAGATTAAAACTCGAATTTGAAACATAGTTCTTTTATTATCCAATTCGAACTTGTCTGATTATACCTATATACTAGTTTTTTACCCGGCCAGTTGGCCGGAGAAGTTCATTTTATTATTTATATTAGTTAACTTATCTACATGTTCGAATTTTTTTGGATCTTGTATACATTTTGTGCTCTCACTTCATAAGTGAATATGTGGTATGCCTATATCGAAAATTCTTGATATTTAATAGTTAGCACACTCGCTTGTGATGTTTATATTCTCTGATCATAAATCATGTCGTAAAAATTTATCACGTCCCATTTAGGATCGTATATAAAAAAACTTTCCACCAAGACGCTCAAATTTATTATCTTATACAACAAATATTAATTCATGATTCTCGAGTTTGTACGAACTCTCAGCCAATTAATCAGAGTTCAAAATATTGGAAAAATATACTTGATTACTGGATAAATTATGTTTATCCCAATTGAAATTTGACACACATCGTATCCCTTATAATGATTAAATTCTCTAAACCTCACTCATTTTTATTGTTGATGTTCATGAAGTTTTTGTATAACAACTTATGACCATTTTTCTATCAAGATACAAATTATTATTATCTTACAATATATATCAATTGCTAATATTTTAAGTTTGGACTAACTCTCAACACATGTTTTTTTGTCTAGATGTTCGTTTAGAATCTGAATCCAAGGCATTCATATACACTATCAAAGGTTCTCATCTTAACATGTTTCTTCAATGTATAATTTTTCAACTATTTGAATGTCCATTCGCTAAAATTTCTTTATATTTGATGTTTGTTCTAGAACAAAAATTTCGTTACTTAGATTAATAATTGGTAAAGTGTGTATACGACAGACAAATATTTCAGGTGCATTCAAAATTATGTATTCCTTGAATAATTAACTTATCATTTAAAAAAAAAATATTTTGTAGCAAATTTTAAAAGTTCATACAAACATTGTGGCTTTTCACATGTATTTAAATTATTGGATATATTATAGACACATCTATTCTTAATATCTAAACATATATATACAAATAGTTTATTTTACTTTCAACACTAATTAATACCTTTGAACTCAACTCCTTGGGTGGAATATCATATCAATTTTTTTTGTTATTGCCAAATTTTTGTACGAAATCCCAGGCTCATAATTATATAGGCTTGTTAAAATTTTCTTACTAAACTCATATTTATTAAATATTATTCTTTTGACCCAATAGCTCGGTTTACACTATTGTAACTATAATTTTTTTATATATGTGAAGTAAAACGTTAATGTTTATTTATTACCTCAATCGTCTAATTTAGATTTTTCTTAACATGAAATGTGATGTTTAACGTACATCCTTAAGAAAGATTTCTCTAAATTTCACACATTTCATTTTTCAAGGGATCTCGTGTCTCATCCTAGAATATGACATCAAAGTTCATCAACTATTATACTCAAATCATTTTGGAAGCTTCAATTTATAATCTTTAACAATAAATAAGTTCAATAGAGCTTGCTCAATCAACATGACCTAGAAAAAAAATTAGGAATGTGAACTTAGGATACATTATAAATACTGCACATGCGATTCATATGTTTTCACTTGGTCAAGTTTAAGAAGCTTTTTTAAGAAACTTAGAATAATAAGATTTTTTAATAAATAACTATTATTTCTTGGTCAAGTTTCTTTCAGACCTTATCGACATGATATTATTATTTTTTTGTGTTTGTTTACATTATTCATTAAAATGTAAATTATTATTAAGTTTTAGTAAAAATGAGCAAAAATTTACATAGTAATCTTTAATCATTTTTTTTATTTAAAAAGTGTGATACATATGTCACTCTACATACATTAGTATACTATTACGTATATCGATATAATGCAAAACAAAATGTGATATATGTCACTCTCCATCATGATTGTCACGTCGGCCGGCATGCCACCGGTTGAACAATTCAACTGGTACCGGTCATGAAATCGACATGACACCATCGATATGACCAGCATGATCGTTTTACGAATTTCTTAGTATAATACGTAGTTTTAGTGAATTTAAGTATGAGTACATGTAATTTTATTTGAAATATCATATTTTATTCAAATATCAATATGAATTGTACGTAAATTGTCTTCAAAAAAATATGGTATATATAGGATTAAATTCATTTGATATGAATGATTAAACTGGTTGTACCACTGGTAAAACCATTCCACTTGCTAAACCGGTTTGATAACCTTTCTCTCCATATATTATTTATAGATATAATGCAAAAACAAAAACAAAATAATTATTGGATAAAAGAGAATTAAATATTAAATGAAGAGAGAGGGACAACTCCATAAATAGGTCAATAACTATTTTTTTGGTAAAAAAATTGTCCACCTTGGCCACTTGAGATCTCTCCAAGTGCTTATGTTGCAAAAATTTAATTTTGAATTGCCATAATATTATGTATAGATAGATAGATAGATAGATAGATATGTATTTTGTCTAAATATGACATTATTTTTCTCAACATATTTTATATTTAGCATACAAATATAATATTTTCATTAAATTGTGTTGCTTGAATTTTTTTTATTCTAGTGAATTACTAGCGTACTTTTTCACTTATGTAATAGGGTTAATTTATTCGTATGACCTGAACTTTGACCAAAATAAACATCATGGCCAATCTTTTCGATCTATAACATCCTGGCCCGAACTATACACCAAAATAAATAATTAGGCCATATCCGACTTTTGACCGTTAGTTAACGCGCCATGTTACTGTCAAGTCAGCATAAAATATTTAAAATAATTCACAATTTCCACACATTCCCTAATTTTATATTATTATAAATTAAAAAAATCATCTAATACCTTAGTTAAACCAAAAATAAAAAATAAAAAAATTAAATATTTATCAGATCTTCTGACTTGGCAGTGACGTGGCGCATTGACCGTTAGTCAACGCGTTTGACCGTCCAAGTTAACGGTCAAACATCGGGTTTGGCCAAATTGTTTATTTTGGTGTATAGTTCGGGCCAGGATGTTATAGATCGAAAAGATTGGCCAGGATGTTTATTTTGGTCAAAGTTCAGGCCATACGAAAATATTAACCCTATGTAATATGAGTATATGTGTAAATTTTAACATGTTGGTATTACCCATGGGTATAGAGATGGGTTTGAAAAACATTCCCCCGCATGGGTATAGGGCGGATATGAGTTTGGGTATGTGAAAACGGGGATGGGGATGCTTTAAGCAAACTCGCCTAATTGTCATCCCTACACATAGTTAGATGCAATATCAACATGAGGGATGCAAGGCTAGGGTCCGTGCCATCAGGAGCAAAGGAGTCTGGCGTTGGGGTCATCACCCGTGCGGTGAACACTCTCCTGATTGCTAGTGGAGCAAATGCAAACAGGGCGTATCTTTCCTATAGCCTTCGCCATTGTTGAGGGAGAGAATATCAAAAGCTGGGGATGGTTCTTCCAACAAATTCACCTCCACGTCCTTAGAAACACAACTTTTTTTACATAAAAGGGGACGGTCACGCAGATCGCTGACATGGCGAACGTTCAACCGTTGGATCGCTCGAGATTCTGAAACTTAGCTGATAACTTCACTCATAGCCAATTGGGATGGGCCCTCTGATCACTCTGATGAGCGTTTCAATTCAGGTGCTCAACCAATTTCGGTGTTTAATGACCTTTGGATGTGATTGCAGAGATTATAGTTAAATAATATTTTACCTAAAAACAATTTAGTGGGTCTCAAAAACTCATTCTGAAAGTGAAAGTGCCAAGCCCAAGCTCTAGAGCGGCGTCTCTAGGGTGATTATGCCTAAAAATTGAAAACAACAGATAGCGAAGCCCAAACTTCTTGGGTGAGAAGAGAAGAGGTATTTGGGAAGACTTCACAGGAACATCTCTCGACGGTTGCCGCGTTGCTTCGATAGGTTTTTCTATACTCCCATGTGTTTGCTGTTGTTGTACCCGGGCACTGAAGATGTTTCACAAATTCGATTCTTGAAATTATGGGTGGAAAACGGTTCATTCCAACTCGATGTTTAGAAAAAAAATGGAAATAAGAAATTGGACTAGATTGTAAATCGTTTAATCGGATTCGGACTGTTCAGTCGTGATCATAAGGGTTTCAATCCAAAAAACTGAAAGAGCTCCCTTTCCCTCCAAACCGTTAATGTGTTATCAGATATTAAAAAAAATAACTACAAAATTAGATGACTCTCCAATCCAAATATCCAATCCAACCCAATCCAACTCACTTTGTTCCCTCTACCTCTCTTGTCATTCCCCAGATTCCATCTCTTCTCTCCCCACCATTCTTCCATCTGCCTCTTCTCCCCTCATTCTCCATTAGGGGTGGGCAACAGTTCGGTTCGATCAAAACCAAACCAAAATTAAGCATACCGTATCTCCCGATTACTCCACACATGAAACCAATCCCGAACCGGAATATAATTTGGTTCGGTTCGTCCGAACCAAGTTATATTCCTGTTCGGTTCGGGTTTCCAACCTAACCCGAACTTCCAATCCCTCCCTCTATTTTTTACACTCTCTTCATCATTTCTCTTCAGAGCTTCCTCTCTCTCTACGAAAAAATCTGCTCCATCTCCCTCTATCTTCCTCAAATCTGCAACTTTCCCTAAACTTCTCCATCAATCCGCCTCCCACCTCCTCCTTCTCCCCTCTCCACCGCCGCCCAGAAGCACCTTCGACTTCCCATCTCCTTCAAGATCTGCCACGCCCTTCTCTTCTCCCCACTCTCCCTTCCGCTCCTCCCTATCTTCTCTCCTCTCATTTATTACTTCGACCTCTACGAGGAGGGAGAGAGACGAGACGCGCCGCCATTCTTCTGCAGCGGCGACCTGTCTCCCAATCACGATTTCTGCTCTCTTCTCTCTCATTTTTAGTGTAAATCTGTTTTATGTTGTCTGTTGTTCTTGATTTATGCTCTCTTCGAGATCTGCATGTCACCGTCCGATTCTGATTTATGTTTGTTATACTTGATTCTCCTCCGATTAGGGTTTTTTTAGGGATTTCGGCGGAAGAGATCTCTCCATCTTTGGTCTCGAAGCGAAGAAAGGAAGAAAGGGTGAGCACAATGCAGAGCTCCAAGCGGCGGTCTCTCTTCGTCTCCTGTCTCAAAGAGAAGAAAGAAAGATTTCGTGAATGGTGACTCGTTCTAACTACAACATCATGATCGACGGCCAAGTATAACCGTCGAACGGGTGTAGCATAGGGCAAGCAAGCAATAAGAATTTATCGTACCACGGGGATCTAGGCTTACCATACTTCAGGTTTAGGGTTCGTTATCTAGCCAACCTAGGATAGTGATTGATAGAATTAAACTAACTAACCTAGAATAACCACTAACCTAGCTATTTACAAGGTGGGGAGCTCTCTTGGGTTGAATCGTCCTAGGTTCGTTCTATGGATCGATGTTGGGTATCCTCCTAGCTCGATCGACTCAAATACCCTACCATTTGTAGATGGATTCCCTCGGGAATGACCCGGAACGACGAATCGATGGATGGCTAGTTCTCTATTCAACCTAGGGTTTTGTATAATGCTAGGAAACCGGTCGAATCAACTCCCTCAGGGGCTACCCGGAGAATATATGATATGAGTGACCCGAAGACGCCAAAAGGGGGCTCTAAGGGATTATCTCCCTCGTAGGTCAAAAGCTCAATGCATGAAATTGGAAACCCAACTCATGCCATTAATGAAAACATCCATCAATTAAGTAAAATCATCAATCAAACACGGATTTTGTCACATACATCAACATTAAACCCAAATCTAGACCTAAGATTCTTAAACCCAAGATAAGAGGGTGAGTTTCTAGAGAGAGAGAGAGAGAGGAGAGATTACAAAGAAACCTCTAGATCTTCATCTTCTTCTTCTAGGCTTGATTCCTTGTTTTCAAGCTTGATCAATGCCTTCAATTAAGCTCCAAGATCACTCTCTCACTCTCTAGAACTCCCCTTTGGTGTTTTGGGTCGAAACCCTAGAGAAAGAAAATATTCATTCTCCAAAAACCACCTCTCCCTTTTCTTCCTTTAAGCTCCCAATTTATACCCAGATCGCGCTGAGTTCACGACCTTCCAGTTCACGGTCGTGACAGTGAAACGCGTCTGTGAATTCAGTGTCGTCGCCAAAACGCACCGCTTCACTCTCCAGGGTTCATGGTTTGCAGGAAGTAACCTTTGGAACCCTCATGGACACCTCGTTGTTCACGGTCCTAGAGACCAACTCTAATGTTGGACCGTGAACTGCGGCTGCAACCTGGACGCCTGCGCTTCGCTGACTTTGGACTTTTCTTTGTTTTTTGCGCTTTTTGACCTCCACTCGTCCCAAAACTCGTCCTCGACTCGTCCACCTAGGGATGTTCAAATGGTTACTGTGGTAATAACCAAACCAAAGCCTAAATTTCATTAACCATGGAATAAAATGTCTTAACCAAACCGTCCAAATGAACACGAAAACCAAATTAACCAAACCAAAGTTTAATTAGTTTGGTTAATTGGATTAACCAAATAACATAACATTACATGAAAAACAACTATCCTGTTAATGAATAAAACATAACCACATGTTATTACTATCATAAACTATCATTATATATAAGCAATAATAATAAAACAAATCATCCATGATTATCATCATCATTCGAGTTAATACATCATTCATCATCTCAGCACCTAATATAGTTAGCTTACAACAAACATTTCACATATATATTAAATACATACCAACACCACTCATGAGGAAGTTAAACCTCTCCTACAAAACACTTAACCTATACATAGTTTGAGGTGACTGTCATGGTATTGTACGTAATCCTAAAGTCTATTAGCTGTCCAGAATGTTTTGGTATAGTAAATAGGCAGGGGTTTTTGTTTTTACCCATAGTGCTTTGGTTTGTTGTGCACATGGAAATAAAATAGGGAATCACGAAAGTTTGGTTTGGTTGGTTGCATGGAAGTATAAATAATTTTGTATATTAGGTGTATCATTAATTGGTTAATTGGTTTCATTGGTTAGCAGTGTTGAAACCAAACCAAACCACTAAAACCAAACAAGTTAAATTGTTTAACCAAACCAAACCAATTATCCAAATTAACCAAATGCTACTGGTTAATATGGTTACCACGGTAACCAATCCGTTTGAACACACCTACTTCCACTCGTGCTAGGACCTGAAATGTACCAAAACAAGCACAACCTAGCGTAAAATAGGTCGAGGGACGATAATCTACTAAGCATAACGGATAAGAAATGATGGGGTAAAATGCGTACATTTGGACTCGAATCAAATGGCAATCTCCGCGGTTGTTATTCCTAGAGGTCGATACCGGCAATGAAGGAAGTGGAAGGAACAACGTGAAGGAGAAGACGGTGGAAGCTAGAGAGTGAGGCTGGCTGATTGCGGACTCGGGCCACTCAACCCTCTTTTCTCTTCATTTTTTATGTGCATCTTCTCATTCCCTCCACTCTTCCATCCCTCTCTTGGTTTCACCTCTAGATCCTATGACGATTGTTTTCTGCAGAATTTTCCTCAAAACTAGAGTGTATATGTCGATTAAGTTCTTAGTTAACCAACGAGAATTTGGCAGATCTCCGTCGATTGTTGACTAAGGCAGTGGAGGGACAACACCGAAGCAGCTTCCATGTCTAAACCCATCGACTCCCTCAAAGACCAATGCCTGAACTCAGGTTAGCTCTATTTTCTCCGCTTGATGTACTCAATCCTGTATGATGAGTTTCTTTCGCAACAGACCCCAAATTCAAGAACGGACCAGGGTTTCATCGGAAGTCAGCTATTCGATGAAAAGCGGCAGATTACCTTGAATCATTGGCCAGTGACGATGATATTGGCAGCCCTTCGGCTACCGATAACACTGCCCTACCCGCTGTTTTGTTGATTCATTGCTTTGAGTATTGACATTTTGCTTGAGGATGGGATGGGGGAGGAATTAGCTCCCGTATGTCAAGAACCAGTTGCTCCTAATAACTCGATTTGTTTTGAAAAGTTCAATAGTGAATCATATAGCACACACTAACACGCCCCCTCAAACAAAAGCCACTCACAAGGGCTTGAAGTTTGCACAGGTCCATATACCATGTGCTTAACAAATGGGGTATACAATGATTCGAACACAATGATTCGAACACAAGACCTCTCGGTCGTATAAGGCTCTGATACCATGTCAAGAACCAGTTGCTCCCAATAACTCGAGTTGTTGGGAGAGTTTCAATCGTGGATCATATACCACACACTAACACTGTAGTTTGAACTAATCAGTTATGTAGTCACTAGCTGATTCTCCTAGTGGAACAATAGCTATTTGTCATAAACAGTTTAGCATTGAGTGTACATTGTTACCAGTATTTCATAACAGGCACAGCTAGTTCATTTCCTCGCTCGGTCTCTGCCTCTGGTTGTGTCGCATGCCAACGATGAGGCCTCAATTTCTTAGTTGTTTGTTGTATAATTCTTTTGGGGTTTTCACGCTTTCCCTTGATATGCTCGTAACAGTGCAAACAAAAGTTGTTATCAGCAACCAACAAGGAGAAAAGCTTGTTGGGATTCTGCATGATACTGGTTCTAAGGAGCTTGTCATTATATGCCATGGATTTCAGTCTTCCAAGGTGATTAATCTCATTCTATATGATTACACAGAACATGTTTGCTGATCCTTTGATGGGAGGCTTCAGTTTTAGTTTCACAATTGTCTTATTTCCCCCTCCAGGAACGCATACCAATGGTGAATCTTGCTGCTGCAATAGAGAGGGGAGGAACATGTGCTTTCCGCTTTGATTTTGCTGGAAATGGGTGAGCATTTTACTAATTAGAAGGATGCTACAAAGTCTTGCAAAGAATCTTTGTGTATTTCCTTCTAGTTTGAATACCCATAGATATGGTGCTAATCCTTGGAAATATAATTTATATGATGTATTGTTGTGCAATTTATTAACACTTTATACTTGCTTCAAACTCTTTTGGGACTTATAGTTTTAGATAGGGGTGACTCCAACTCACCATCGCCTCGTGGGATTAACTTCATGCATTTTCATTTCTTGGATTCTCAATTTTGCCAAAAACAGTGTCTACTGTGATCTGATTTGTACTGCAATTTAATTCTTGGTGGCAGCAATTTGGTTCAAATGTCTGGAAACTTGAGCAAGAAATCTGAACATTTCTGAAGGTTGCTCAATATGATGCTAGTGTTTGTTAGAATATTAGGTGCCATCATGCTACTGTCATTTGTCACTTGTCTATATATTATCTATGGTTATGTCACGTAGTAAATGTTTGGATAATGACCAGGTCAATTATTCATGTCATGTCTCGAAGATTGCTTTAGGTGCATGCTGAAATTATGCTTACATTTTAGCATCTCCAATTTTGAGCAAACCTCATATTTGTTTTGCATTTTCTAGGGAGAGTGAAGGATCGTTCCAGTATGGCAATTATTATAGTGAAGTCGATGATCTACGTTCCGTAGTGTTACACTTTCGTGAGACACATGTAATAAAAGTACTTATTGGGCATAGCAAAGGTCAGTTATTTGTTATTCCATGTTTTAACTCTTACGACTGTAATTGCATGCTTGCTCCGACTCCTTTGTCCTGCAGAGTTGTGCTTTTCTGGTTCTGTTTTGGGATATTAGCGGATGGATAAGTCTCCAAAATGGACATATTTCGTGAGTCCGGATCTATGTTAATGAATATTTCAGATTACAAGTTAGATTCTTCTTCCAAGCTCTAATATTTGACGAAATGATGCCGTTCCCTTGTACTTGTAACCCACTTTCATTCTGATAGCCTTTTGTTTTCCTTAAATCTTCATTCCTCTTGCTTTTTGATGAGTACAAAAATGATATAAAGTGACATGATTTTTTCTGATATGTATGTTGTGTTCTGATTAGTTTTTCGCTATGAGTAGTAGTTATGGAAGTAGTTTGACAGAATGGCTCCTTGCAGGGGGGAACGTTGTCCTCTTATATGCTTCAAAGTACAATGATGTTGATACGATTGTGAACATTTCTGGTCGATTTTATCTGGAGAGAGGCATTGAAGGTCGACTGGGCAAAGACTACCTCCGCAGGATCAAAGAAACTGGATACATTGATGTTAGGAATAGAAAAGGTCAGATAGGATATTCTTACATCTGTGCCATTATTCAATTGTTACTAATAATAGGGTGCTTCTTCAACTTCGGAAGTTAATATATCCTTGTTATATGTTGTTGATGGTCTCTAGAAATGCATCTAGTTCTGCTTAAAGTTTTCTGAGAAATAGTTTTTGCATCTAGTTCTGTTTAAAGTTTTCTGAGAACTAGTTTTCTTTCGATTAAATGTCAGGTGAGGTAGCTTTTCGAGTGACTGAAAAGAGCCTGATGGATCGTCTAAACACTGATACTCACAGAGCATGCTTATTGGTTCCCCAAGAATGCCGGTGAGAAGCATCATATTTCCCTAACCAAGTGCTATTTATCCTTATCCTCATTAGCATCTCAAATCTTATCATGTTTCAGTTATGTTGGGGCGTGGAATAAAACCATCTGTTCTCGGTTTATCTCATATGCTAGATCACAGTTCTTCGACTAGTTACTGGGCTTTGCACACCTCGCTTAGTTTCTAGTTCTCCTTCCTACCCAGAAAATTTAGAAGCAAGTAGAGCACACATTCCAGACATGTCCATTTTCACCCCTCTTGTCCACATGTATACATTTCAGGGTGTTGACGGTACATGGATCCAAAGATCAGCTTGTACCAGTTGAAGATGCCGTGCAATTTTCGAAGCTCATAAGAAACCATCGCCTGTGCATTGTAGATGGTGCTGATCATGAATACACGTCGCATCAGGAGAACCTAGTTTCACTGATATTAGATTTCTTGCGGGAAGCGCAGAGGGACTGTCATTCTTTGCGCTCAAGATTCTGAAAATTAACTGAGAACTTCACTGGGAGCCATTTGGGATGGATCATCTTGTCACTCTAATGAGTGTTTCAGTTCAGGTGCTCAACCAATTTCGGTGTTTAATAACCTTTGCGATGTGATGGCAAGATGATAGTTAATAGAATGATATTCCTAAAAATAATATAAAAGTGGTGGGTGTCAAGCACTCATTCTGGATTTTACAACAAAATGATTTTGTCATCTAAATTCTCCATGCAGGACACGTGAAAGGTATAATGTGATTCTGGGTATTAAAATCAAGCACAATGACAAAGAAGTTAGTCTTACCTCAATTTCACTACATTAAAAAGATACTTGCCAAAGTCAATACAAGAAATCACCGTGAGTTAACCTATGGATCCAAGAATAAAACTTATAGCTAATTGGTTTCACAACTGGAGTATTACAGGGTAATTGGGCGTTTGATATATGCAATGACTGCATAAACTAGATATCATATATGAGGTAGGATAATTAAGTTGGGTTAATTTAATCCCTTCAGTAGCACCTAACAAGAAAAATTAATATATCACCTTTATAAAAAAATTAAGTCGGTATAATAGTAATCCTAGTGCTTAGTATTGGCACGCAATGAGGTGTATATTAGGATGTTTCAAAGGCAAAATGCATATACACTGACCTATAGTGAATATCTATCCGTATTGAAAGGATGTACTAATACTAGTTGGATTTCTGATGTTAAAGTTCATACTTCAACATATGGATGAGTCTTCTTGCTTGAGGAAGGTGCCATATTTTGAACTTCTAAAAACTAAACTTACATCACTAGTTCGACTATGAAGTCAAAGTTTGTGGTCTTGGCTTCTGCTGGATAGAGGCATAATGGTTGAGGGACTTGATTTATGACATTCTTTTATGAGCTTAACAATCTTACCTTTTAGTATCTATTGTGACAGTAATGTTACTTTGGCTAAGGCATATAGCTAAATTTATAATGGCAAATCCCATTATTTAGGTGTTAGAAATAGTAACATTCATGAATTAATCACTCGCATAATTGTGTATATATAATATGTGCACACTCGAGATAAGTAAGCAAATCATTTTACTAGATTATTAGCTAGAGACTTGGTAGTTGACTATGAGAAAGGGAATGTTTAAACTTTAAAGTTCATATAATATCATATTATGGGATGCTCAATTTTCATTTAATACAACGTTAGAGGATAATTCAATGAGGAAAACTCATTATAAGAAACTGAAGCACATAATTTTTCATAATGAGTTATGTGCTTGTTATCCTTCGTGAGAGAAGGAGATGAACTTTAAAACTTTTTAATTGAATTTTTGACAAAGTGTATTATGCAGGTGTACGAATAAGATATTCAACCTTCATAAGTATGAAGTGCAGTTGCTTCAAGAAACTCAGACTTAGGTTTAGTAAAATTATGAGAAGGATTGAGATACATGGCTGGTAATTGTCAAGATCATTTAGAAGTTTGGAAAACTTAAGTGTATATTATCTTCATATATCCATTTGAGTATATGGTTTAATCTTTACACTCTTATATTCGGATATTTGTCAAGTGTAATATATACATACGTTGGTTTCTTTGCATATTTTGTATTTATTGGTTTGTAATGCAAGTCATATTGGAATGTACTCCTGGTTATGGTATTTCATATTAATAGTATTCTTTGTATACAATATCAAACTGATTTGTATACTTGTGTGGTTTGTATATATTTTATATTAATTTGTATAGTTTTAATATATGGTTTGTATACTTTGTATTATTGGTTTATCTTGTAAGTAGTTATATTTTGTATATAAAATCAGCGACTTCCAATCTTCTTCTCTTGCGAAATCGACATCAGCAACTTCCAATATATTGTAAAAAAAAAAAAAAAAAACTTCCAATCTTCTTCTCGGCTGAGCGAAATTATAAAAAGAAATTACTGGAATTTGAAATAAGTAACATGAAATTACTGGACTTTGAGGATTGAACTGGGATTTGCTATATTTGTAATTTGAAACCAAAATCCAAAAAACTTTTTTTTCTCTCTCTCAAACATGAAAATTTGGAATTTGAAACCATGATAACGAATACAAATTCCACGATCTGAGTTTGGGCTAACTTAAAATAAATCCTCTGAACAAATGTCACACACCGGCTGGCTAGTGTCATTTGCCATCTTATTGTGTTCACAAACTGTACAACCAACCAGCTACACTGCGGAGAAGACAACACACCAAGTTGGGAAGGGAATTCTCGGGGAACTTCATGCTAACTACTAACCGTCAAAGAAAAATGACATTTCAAGGAATTATACAAAAACAAACAGTAACATTAAGCACCTCTTGTTCCTTGCAATGCTAATGATGTTCCCCAAGTTTACCCATTGGATTAGGATGTAAGGGTCTTCGGTTTGCTCCCAATACTCTTCCAGGAAACACTGGGCATTATCTGTTTTGTGTCAACACGGTCCTTGTACTTCACTGCAAAGTTGAGCAAGGAATCAAGGAGAGAGTCCGAGAGAAGATGTGGCTGGAGTCCCAACTCGATCAGTTTGGTGTGCTTAGCATTGTAGTAATGTTCCTCCGCCTCCACTCTAGGGTTAGGGACAGAGGTTGTCTTCACATCAAGACCAACCTTCTTTCCAGCATTTGTAACAAGGGAAGCAAGTTCATTGACAGAAAACTGCTCCGTGAATTGATTGAAGACCCTGAACTCTCCCGGTCGCCCAGGATTTGCAATTGCAAGTTCAACACATTGCACTGTATCCCTTATGTCGAGGTAACCCCGGGTCTGCACCATGAAGTAGGCAGAAGACCAGTTTAGATAACATGTCAAGTAGATAGCAGTACTTTTACCACCTGATGTTTATTAATAAACAGAACATCCAATTCCTAGTTGCATATAAGATGTAAAACTTGCATGACATACATTTCACCCATATTAAACAAATGGCATTCCAAAAGCATCTAGAGCGGGAGAAGTATGATAAACAGACACTTCCCCAAAGGACAATGTTAGAGACCAGGAGCTGGGACCATAAAGCATATGTGTTGGAACAAAATCAAGCTACTTATAAGCAGCAATTATCTTAGTGCCGATACCCTAATCTATACAATTGCTAAAGGACATTGCAGGGAGTATAAATAGTATAAAGAAAGCACATGGCGAGAAGATACTGTGTTCTCAGAAAAGCTGTAAAACAAGCTGATAACAAAGAAGTCTTACCTGACCACCTTTACCATATACAGTAAGCGGATGTCCAACTGCAGCCTGGACACAAAAACGATTTAATGCAGTTCCAAAGACAGCATCATAGTCAAGTCTGTTCTGCAGCTCTTCATGCATCTCAGTCTCTTCTGTTCTTACTCCATAGACAACTCCTTGATTGAGATCGGTAGCCCTAATTCCCCAAGCTTTGCAAGTGAATGCAATGTTGTGTGAGTCATGCACCTTGCTAAGATGATAAAAGGAACTAGCTTGCTTAGGATAAGGCAATGTGTCTGTTCGACCATTGTGGGTTATTGTAATATAACCTTCTTCAATATCAATGTTAGGGGTTCCATATTCTCCCATTGTTCCCAGCTTCACTAGGTGGCAATCCTGTTGGAATTCCTTGATAGCAAAGAGGACATTAAGCGTTCCAATCACATTGTTGTGCTGAGTAAAGATAGCTCTTGATCGATCAATCATCGAATAAGGAGCAGACCGCTGCTCCCCAAAATGGACAGCAGCATCAGGTTGGAATGACCTGAAGGCTTCTTCTAAGAATTCAAAGTCACAAATGTCACCAATGTGGAGCTCAATAGTCTTCCCTGTTAGAGACTTCCATCGACGAATCCTATTGTGAATGGAAGCAATTGGGGTGAGAGAGTCTAGACCCAGTTGGTGATCGAAGAGGCGGCGTACAAGACTATCGACAATGGCTACCTCATAACCTTTGTTTGAGAGATGGAGGGCAGTAGCCCAGCCGCAGTAACCATCCCCACCAATGACCATAACCTTCTGTGCTTTGGGAAGTCCATCAGCGGCGGCAGCCTGGGAGCTACCAGATCTGGGATTAGTAGCAGGAGCTTCGCGGCTGGCAGGGACTGCAGCAGCAGCACGAACAATACAGCTTCGATGTGACGATGGATCTTGCTGCAAGACCAGCCCATTACACTTGTAACCAGAGGTTTTGAATGTGAAACATCGAGGATAATCTGTTGTGCGCTGTTGACTTGTAGATTGTGTGAAAGGGCGGCTGAAGCATGACTTCAGGGTGCTAGAAGTTGAAAGCAAGTGCGGCATCTTTTCGAAGTTTATATACTACAGGGAAATCTGCGGAAAACCAGCGAAAGTACATAGCTTTGGTAACCATATTCACAATTCATCTTCATTAGGGTACAGAAGGAAGAACTCAGGAGAACTCCATACAGTCAAAAGGAATCCCACATTTTGACGATAGAAAAATAACTACTAAATTGCCAGAGCATTAGTCGGAAACAGGGCAATGATCTGTTTCCACATGAGCTTAATTAATTTTTTAGCAGAGCAGCCATGGAAAAGAAGAAAAGAGGTTGTAAGGAAAGGTATTACCTTAGACGGTCGGCAAGAAGCAGAGTACCCTAGTTAGGGTTTGGACTGGGAGTGCTAGCGAAAGGTCTTGGTGAATTGCCAAGGCGGAGAGTTCACAGTACTGCAACAAAGAAGGGAAAGGAAGCAGCTGGGAGCATATTCTTTTTATCCGCTGAAGATGACGATTTATTCTCTCCAAAAACAAAACACCCTCTGTTATTAACTTATTTTTTGTTGGAAAGAAGAGTAGAAGTTCTCTCGGAGAAAAAGATTAGAAGGCGACTATTTTTATTTTAGGCGGATTGTCAAATTTTATTGCCAAAATACCTCACACTTCATAGTTAAAAAGTTATTGGATCAACTCAAGGATGAATTTAGGGTTGGGATTAAGTAATAATTTCTCAGTTCTATAATAATAAGGGATACTTTGTGCAAAAGTTTACATAGGTTTAGCAGTTAAATTCTTAGTGGGCGCTCGTTATTAGAAGTGGTATATCCCGTGTTTGACCCTCACCAAAGCTCGTTATGGTATCCCCGGAGGCATATAATGGAAATCCTCATTGATGGCTGAAAGGGGCTCAAGCAGGTGAACCTCCAAGTTTGGTCTCGCTCTGTAATCGCTGAAGTGGTGGTGAAGGAGTGGTAATCTCCTTGATGGATGACTGAACTACAGTCATTGTTGGAGTAAATGAGAAAGGAATCTGAGCCAACCATTGGCAAAGAAAGCGAAGGAGAGGAGAGGGCGACGAAAAGGCGAGTCTTAGGAGACAGATAAGTGAGATGGAACTAATGGAAGATATTTATGGAGGACAAGGTCTTTTCTTAAGAAAAACCCTATTTTGAAAAGTGGGTATTTGGAGAGAAGATATGCACCATCAATCATCCCTAATTCCTAGTGGAGGTAGGCGAAACAATCATAACCTAGGGGTTTAGTAAAGATGTTAGCCACTTGCCATTATGTAGGAATGTGGGGAATGGAAATGACTCAAGCTTGAACTAAATCTCGGAGGAAATTGTACTTGACCTTAAATATGCTTAGTTCTAGAATGCTAGACTGGATTTTTACTCATGATAATGGCACTAGAGTTATCACATATAATCGGTAGGCTAGAAATGGAGAATCCATAGTCCCGTAGCTATTGATTTGGACAACGAAGTTGAGTGCACCATTTGTTTGCAGCAAGATACTCACCTAGGAACCTCCAGAGGTACTTTTCCTGTCAATCCTGATACCAGTGAAGTCATAGTCTGAGTATCCTATAAGATCTAGACAGGTGGATGAAGGGTACCAAAGTTCTTTGGTAGGGGTATAGACAAGATAAATTTGGATTCTTTTGGTTGTTATCAGATTGAGATCGCTAGGGCTAGCTTGGAACCTTTCACACACACACATTGAACATGATGTCTGATCTGCTGGATGCTAGGTATAGCAGGGATCTGATCAGCCCTCGAGAGAGGGTGTCACCAGCAGAGTTACCCTGCTCATCATAAACTAGATGAAAGGAGGAAGCAGTAGGAGTTTTAGAAGGTTTGGCTAAGGACAATTGATACTTAGCAAACAAAAAAAAGTAGCATATTTGCTTTGATGTATAGTATGCCGCCTGGATTTTGATGGATTCGGTGGCTTAGAAAAAATGTTTAGTTCTGCCATCATACTTAGTTCAAAGTTACTTTGCATGATATTGCATAACTCAGTACATGGGTCTTTTCATATGCTCCAAAATCATGTCTTCCACATAGAATTGAACTATCAGAGACCAAAGGAAGAGTTTTTAAGAAAAAAGTGTTGAATTGATTGATCCTCTAGTGAAGCTATGTTCTAATAGAAATGCACTTAATCTCTCACATCAAGCTCTAGGTGCTTGTTTGAGTCCATACATAGCCTTTTTAAGCTTGTAAATATGATCAGGAAAGAAGTGGTTTTCAAAACCATGAGGTTGTTAAACATAAACATCTTCATTTACAAAACCGTTTTGAAATGCACTTTTGACATCCATTTGACATACTTTAATTTATAAGAACTGGCAAATACACAAAGTAGTCTAATTGCTTTTATCATGGTTAGTGGTGCAAAAGGTTTATTCAAAATATATTCATTCTTATTGATCATATATTCATATCCTTTGATGACTAGATAAGCTTTGTTTCTAGTGATGTTACCGGTTTCATCATATTTGTTTCTGATGACACACTTGGATCCAATAACTAGCCATCTGTAGGTCAAGGTACGAGATCCCAAACCCAAGCTCATTCAAATTGGTTAAGTTCTTCTTGCATAGATAGCTTCCAATATTCATCTAAGAGATATTCCTTAATGTTTTTAGATTCTATATGGGACAGAAGGCATAGTGGACAGAAATAAGGGCAATAAGGTTAATTTGCTTTAGGTCATGTAACTTATGGGGAAATAGGGCCGCGTATGATCAGGGAAGAGGATGCCTTATTTTTATATGACAAGGTGCATGATATGATGGAGGTTTGTCGTTTGGATGTGGAAATGTATGCAGTAATTGGACCCAATTACTACATAATGCAGTAATTGGGTTAAAAATCCACGTTTGAGAGAGCAAAAATGGTATGGAAATTGGACCATGGAAATTGGCTTCAATTACCACATTCATGGTAATTGAGAATACTACACCTCCCCCTAGTAATTTGACATTACCACGTTTTCTTACTTCTTTTTTCAAATTCCACACCATCAATTCCCACAAAACTAAACCCTATCCAAACGTGAATTTTTTTCCAATTTCCACAAGTCAATTCCTTGGTTTTGTAAAACATGGAAATTCAGACAAATTTCAACGTTTTAAAATTTCCACATCCAAACAACCCCTAGTTTCATAAGGCTTATCAGAGATTGAGTTGTCGGTTCTAGGTTTTGGGAGGTAGACTCTATTATTGTGACAAAAGGTTGTATTGCAAAGGAGTCCTCCTCGTTTTATTGTGAAGTTTCATCAAATTTTAAATGAATAGATTTCCTTTTCTATTGGTTTGTATGTTCAAGGTCCTATAAGCTTTGCTTCTCGTAGAATATCCTATGAAAGTGGGGGTGGATCTAATTTGGGTTCAAAATGTTCTAGGTGACCCTTTGTATTTAGAATGAAGAAGGAACTTGGCAAGAGATGAAAGTAACTAAGATTTGGTTTCTTCCCCTTTCAAAGTTCATAAGGAGTCTTTATATATTTATTTGATTACTTCTGATAAGAACTCGCTATTTCTGCCTACCGATTTTGAGATAGGTTATATTCTTGGAACATGGTTCTTCCTATTTCTTTTAAGGTTCTATTTTTTCCTTTTAATAACCCCATTTTGTTTTTTCCCAGTTCGGGGGGGGGGGGGGGGGGGGGGGGGGGGGGGGGGGCTAAGAAGGTGTGTTCTATCCCTAGAGTGTCACATGATGCTTTAAAAGGATGAGTATCGAATTCTCCTCCATGATCACTTTCAATTCTTATACCTGATATTTCTTTCTCTATATGTACTATAGCGATGAAGGTTTTGAGTTGAATAATAGTTTCATCTTTGTGTTTTAAGAAAATCACCCATGTATACCTAGAGTAGTCGTCTACCAAAACAAATGCATAGAATTTTCCTCCTAAACTCATGGGTTGGTCAGGTTCAAATAGATCCATGTGAAATTGTGAATGAGTAAAGTATTTTTTGGTGGTTATATCGGGCTTGCTATTGAAAGACTCTAGTTTTTTTTCCTAGTGCACACGCATTGCAAAAAAACTCTGGTTTTTGACTTGAGAAAACCCTCTGACTGGTTGAGCCTAGATAGTTTTCCCAAGACACACATGCTTACATGCCCAAGTCTTCTATGATCTCATCTGTTGTGTATCATTGCTAGAAGCTACTAGACATTTTTCATGTACGTCACTAGTATATGATAGATCAACTGTGAATATCCTATCCTTTTTACTTTGTTTTCTTTTTAAAAAAATTGGTTGATGGATAGTAAATTGAACTTTAGGCCTTCTTCTGATAACACATCAGATAGCTTAGTGTTATTTGAGGATCTTATATTGTCAATTCATGTGATTGGTGCTTCGTTGTTGTCTCCAAATGTGACTTGCCCTCATCGCTTGGTGATAGTGACTTCGAATTTGCTCTCATCTTTTTTTATAAGGGTGATTATTGGTTTAATTTTGGTTGTTTAGGTACTACTTAAGGAATTTGGACCTGCAACCTCTAGGTTCAAGACTAGTGGTATTACCACTAGACCAATCCCTTATTCGTAAATTTGCTACCATCTCTTGTCATGTCTTGTCATGTGAATAAATCACTATCCAGATACCATCTATTCTTGTTGGTTTTCCCTTACACAGGTGGCAGTGGGTTTGTTTTTGGAAATCCATTATTGTCTGGATTTTCCTGTTTTTCTTTTTGTTTCAATATCAAACTTGTTGATGTGGTGTTCTTGACTATGGCAAAACCAACAGTTCAGTCATGTATAACACTCGTTCTGGTAATGCTCATAATTATTACACCTTATATACTTGACTTCTTGTTTGTTAGTGCTTATGATATCTATTTTTGTACTTTGTTGTATTTCCAGACTTCTTGTTCAAGCTAGAAGTTCTAACATGATTGTATTTTGTCTATGACTATTTACTTCTAGTTCAATGACACACTTGAGTTGGGTATGCAGATAGTCTTCTAGTTCATTCAAACTTTCCTTTAGTTCATGAAATAACTTTGCAATTGGGATCATGATTGTGATTTTTCCCTCTTATTGAGCATTTTATTGAGTGAGTTAGTGGATCATATGAGTCATCATCTATGCATGCACTCAAGGGTTCAAGAAGTACATATATGTTTGGTGTTTCCTAGGTCATTAGTCCTAAATGATCTTGATCAATGAGAGTAATGTACCCCCTCTGCTCATTAATATGTAGTGATATTTTTTTATAATAATATTTAGTGATATTAATGCAAATCAAATGTAGTCAAAGTTATGAAAATTCATTGAAATGTCAAGGGTCATATTCCATAAGGCTTTCTAATAATTTCTACTCACAAACAATCATTTAATGCTCAAACAAAGACTCAACAAAAATCAAAGGGTTGAAGTTCCCTATGTTTAGTGGTTTTTAGATGCATCATAAAGTAAAAACATTATTTAGATGACAAGAAAGTCAAGATACACATTAATAAGAAAGCTTATCAAAGATGATCATGCATTTCAATCTCAATAATGATAAGCAACGATGCATCTTCTGTCCTAAATCTCTATCCCTTCCACTAAGGTCGTCCTTCTCGAGTTTTCATCACTTAAAATAAAAATTATGACTAGCTAATGCGTGTTTTCGCTTCATGCCACTAGACTAATCAATCAATCAATCAATCAATCAATCAATCAAGGAGGGAAGGCTTCCTGATACCACTGAGATTCGAATTGTTTGACGAAGCAAGGCATATTCCCGAAGATTTATTGGGCTTGGGCCGTTGGCTGTTGAGTGGTGGTTGGGGTTGTCATTCGTTTTCTTCCTCCTTTAGGTTACTTAGCCCACAAGTAACTCCTCTTGTGAAATCCAACACAACTTGATGAGTTCAGCCCAGCGGTGGTCAGCACCATCACAAGGCCGCCATGGGTTCCTTAATGGGTTTGGCCTGAAATTTCTCTATTGGACTCCTCTTGGAATTTTATGACGACTTCATGAAGGTTTCCCCTTGATTTGACCTTTTTTTTTAGGGTTAATACAATATATTAGCCACAACTATTATAAAGCGGGGAATTATAGCCACAACTATGAAAATTCAAATTATTAGCCATAACTATTGCTGCAGGTCAAGATATGGCTAATTGTCTGTTACTGTTATTGAATTTTTGACGGAGAAGGCCACGTCATCGGCAACAACAACGGCCACGTAGGAATGCTTTTAGTTTATAACTTCAAAACATAAAAGTTTAGTCAGTATTACTAACGAAATTGTTAACAGATAGTTAACGTTTGGCTAATAATTTGAATTTCAATAATTGTGGCTATAATTCCCCGCTTCATAATAGTTGTGGCTAATATATTGTATTTACCCTTTTTTTTTATGGATGAATCACCTGGATCTTCTAGTAATTGCCCCCCTATCCTCCAATTTGATCCAATTGTTGATCCAAGTTATCCTATAATATATTCGACATTGAAAAGCACAAAAGGATACAAAAGGGCATAAAATGATTTAAAAAAAAATCCTAGGTCTATTATACACACATTGATCACATAGTCATGATTTATACGTAAAATATAGCAAAATATACTCAGGATGCATTGATAGAAGGAGAAAATGTATCAAATATGGGAGTGATAAATACTTTAATTTGAGTGTCATCAATATTCCAACAATGATCCATCTTACATTCCTTCTTCGTGCCCGCCATGAAGATACCATTTTAGCTTGCTAGTACAACATTTGCCCTCGTCCAAGCCACATTCCACATTTCATCTCCCACGTCAATAGTATATGCTCGTTCATCTAGATTGCAAGGAGCCATCGGTAAGAATAATGACGAATCCCTTGTTGCGATATTGAGTTTAATTCAAGACCAAAATGTTAGCAATTATTGATAAATGCCGACTACAACATCTTCTGACATTTCCCCATAAAGCTCGCACAATGCTTTATCCTCAAGCTTCTTCAAATTTGGCATTCGAGTGGATGCAGAAGACATGATGAGAATTGCGGGATAAGTGGGAAGAAGAGAATTATTTTTTTAGAGGGAAGAAGTGAAGAGTTGAGAAGTGTGGACGAATCAGAATGAGATGTTATTTTTGTATAGTTGAATAAATAAGAGTTGGAAATATGGTCATTGGCAAAATTTGAACGTTAGGGCTTTCAATATGCTGCACCGAACAAACTAAAACCCTATATTAAACAATTTTTTTTAAAGAAGTCAGTCGCCAGATAGATAATTTGTCTTCGAGTCATAACAACAAAAGAATTGACACATTAACTGTTGATTTTAAAGAGAGGGACATGTTTGTTATTTTTAAAAATTATCATAGCAACACGCTTGTAGCGCTGCCCATTTATTTTGTGTTCCATCTTTAGCTTACAAAGACCACAAGTATCGTGAAGCTGTGCTTATTATGTGGTTATTGATCATCACTGTAAAAACCACACCTAATTAAAGGGAGTCGTTGGCAATAGCATGAATTAAAGTTGGGGTTAGGGTAATTGAAGGGATGGGAGAGCGAAGAGAAGACACCAGAGTAGGGTTGGAAAATAGTGTAGTCTGGTCCAAACCGAGAGGCTATAACACAGATCATGAAACAAATCATATACTATACGGTCCGGTCCACGCATGTGAGATGCAGTTCGATACTATTTTGATCGGGTAAACCATGTTCAACAAAATTTATATTGTCCAATACTAAATATAGCTACTAAATAACAAACAAAAAAAAATACATTGATATCTCATCATCACAAACAACAAAGTTCAAAAATCAACATAACAACCAATAAATAATTTGTTACGAAGTACCTACTACCTACCAAGTTACGAACCAACAATTTGAAGTCTACAACCCAAGATAACATAGTCCAAAATCCATAACATAAGAATAAACCATATTCCTTAATTCAATAACAAGAACTAATAAGTCCTACAAAGTGCAAGTTCAAACTTCAAACACCACCCTCTCCTTCACACGTTCAAAGCTGAGGCAACATCATCACTTCCTCCAATCTCTTTGCTCGTGCTGGAATCTTGAGCTCCTCCACTCTCAAGCTCCTTATCCATCAAAAAGTACCAATTTCTTCTTGCATTTCCATAACGAAGAGGTAGAGTAGATGTACCCAATACTAGATGAATCGAAAGAAAATACCTGTCCACAAATGGGGCCCTCTACCTTCTCGCAATGTCTATGCAGTAAATGTGACGTATGTTGAAATATTACACGGGCCCCTGAACATAAATTACAAACCAACTTCATGGATGTAGATACTTTGTAATTGTTAGAAACTTGAAACAATCATTAGTAGAAGTTGCCAAAACGGCATTCACAATTGCAACTAAGGGCTCGTTTGGAGAATTGAACTCTAAATCTCTAAATTCTAGACAATCCAAAAAATTTAACGCTCTGAATTGTTGAAAAAAATTTTGAAAATGTTCATTGTTTGGTAACTATGATTGTTAACATCCAATGAAAAAAGAAATTCTAATTTTTTTTTATCACTTAACATGTTTATCCTTAACCAAAATAATTAGATTGGCTCGAAAAATATTGAGAATTTATTGGTAAGGGTATTTAGGGGGATAAATAAATAAAAAACAAGAGATATAATAGGAGGGAGAAAATCTCCAAAATCAAGATAGAATCTCTCTAATGAGAGATTTGATATCTCTAGATTTTATAAATTTAAAATTTCTGAAGTTACAATCCACGATACAAAAAGTAGCAAAAAAACATAACATTTTGCTAAAACTATGGATTCAATAAATCCACGATCCAAATCTTGTTCTCCAAACGACTCCTACATGAAGATTGTCTCAACAAAAGCACTGCTTTTCCTCTACTAAAACGAAAAGTAGGGGCAACACTCGCTGAATGTCGATTATTAGGTATTAATCATAAATCGACATTCAGCTTTGCTAATCGAAATATGGCAAATCCGGATTGTTGTAATGGTATTTTGTTAATTAGTAGTTCAACATAGTGTGCTCAATATTTTTTCAGATTTCCATTTCACAATCACTAAAATTCTCTACTAAACAAGTTTTCTCTAGATGTTGTTTCTATAAAACGGCAGCTGCGTTTTCTCTCGAGTTTGTTTTCTGTTGCAGGCTTGCAGCAACTACTGAAAACAAAATGAAATGACAAGTGATTTTCAATGAAAAAGAAATGCAGGAATGCAATGTACATTGTAAAGCCGCAGGGCAGACGAAAGCTAAATTCATGGAAACAAACTGAAACATGCTGCTCTTCCCAGTATCTGTTCGCATTAGGGCTTGCTTCTCCAAGAGTGATAACAAATTACACCCTATATGTTCTTTTGATTACCCTAAATTGTCCAAGCCCAGAAGCAACTCATCCCTGCGCCAAAAGCTTCTACTACAAATCAGAGTCAACCAGCTGCGACCCTTTCTCCATCTTCAACGAAGAGTAATTGCACTTTCAGGCACCTGAAATAATCAGACCAGTAAAACACAAACGGTACGTAAACATGTAACTTGTAAGCTTAGAGCGGAAGTCATCAAACTCGTTCAACTTAATCAAAGAAAATCCAAAATGAAAGAAACTGAGATCTACAAGCTCAAACCATCAGATTTTCAGCAACTCCCCCTACATCTCACTTTATCCTGACAGCATAAAACACATTCTCCTTTTGTCAAAAAAAAAAAAAAAAACATTCTCCAGGATAGTAAAGTAATCACAAAGTTTGAGCCATCTCTAAATGCTAGAGCAGACCAATCATTCAGGAAAAAACAACATTCAGGCTGTCACAGTTGCATCATGATCCATGATTTGACTTCTGTGCATGTCCTTGAAACTTATGCCCCGTTTCTGTTCACAACAGTTGAGAACACACTTCCAGATGCTTGCCTCATTATTTTCTCAAAAGAGAGCTACTTTTCCTTTCATTTGGTTCCAGTCATCATAAAACTTACTAATTGTCAACAGATAGGTCAAGTTGCCTAGTTAATGCAATTGTAGCCATGTCCTGAAACTACCAGTGCAGTCAGCAGAAAAAACAATTCTCCTAGTTCCCGACATCTTTCACCGAACTTAAGACTTGAGAACACACTTCCAGATGCTTGCCTCATTATTTTCTCAAAAGAGAGCTACTTTTCCTTTCATTTGGTTCCAGTCATCATGAAACTTACTAATTGTCAACAGATAGGTCAAGTTGCCTAGTTAATGCAATTGTAGCCATGTCTGAAACTACCAGTGCAGTCAGCAGAAAAAACAATTCTCCTAGTTCCCGACATCTTTCACCGAACTTAAGACTTGGAAGATCTGAAAGTATCTCTTATTTGTGATGACTGATAAATAGAATATCAATATAAGTAACTTAAAGAGAGGGTAAGAAAGGAGATTACATCAGGCCATGTGTCTGTGATAAATTCAACGACGTCATAAGCTATGTCTCCTTGAACATCAATTTGCTCCTTGTCAGTTGGACCCTGCATGTTACCACATGTAGAATCATAAGAAGTGGAAAAGATTAAGGTATAGAAGAATCTTAGAAGCATATCGGCACCTTGACAACAGATGCACCAGTAGCAAACTTCTTTCCGAGTTTTTTGGAAGCATCACTAAGCTTGATTCCTGGAAACAAAAACTATTTTTAAGAATGTACATTTAAACCATCAAACAACAAAACACAGTATTAAAATTATTTCAGGATGTAGCTCACCAAAGAGGTCCAATCCTTTAATAATGGTAATACATTTGCGCTTGTTGCGTACAATCTTCTCTATTACAACTTCTTGCTTCTCCTGCATATAATAGAGAAGAGTTTCTCTAATTTATATCAGCGCATTTATGACAGCTTATTATGAATCAATTCGAAGATATTAAAATTCTTGTGTTTTGGAACTATTCCTACAAAATTAAACATGAATCATAGTGCTTCAAATAAAACGAAAAATCTATATTTCTTCTTACTTGAAAAATAACAGGGAAGAGAAAGTACAGTGGCAAGAAGGAAAAGACAATAAATTGCAGTGAGATCAATCTATGCCATTTCCATTAACCGATGTTAACCACTTTTCGTAGGCATTCTAATCCATTTCCCAACTTTCATTCACTAGAAGATAAGAAGTAGAGAATGAAAATGGAACTCAATTTCTTTCTTTCTTTTTTATTTGGTTGAATGCAAACAAGTTGTAAGAGAAACACTAGGGTAAACTGTTAGCGATCTTAAAGAGCTACGGGAAATTGGTTCAGATAAGTACCGCCTCTGCACCAAGAGCAAGAGGCTTGCATAGTGAACAGAGCATCTACCATCAAACAATCACATGATGACACCCAAATTCAAACTCCAATTGAGCTAAGATAGGCATGAGTACCTCATAAAGATAGGTGTTAATAGTACTACCTGACCCCTTAAGACTAGGAGATGCAGGTAAGGAAAAGAATATACTAGTAAATAAGCCCAATTGATGCATTTGCCACAAATTTTTATAGATATGGACATATGGAAAATCGTGCATGGCAGGACAGTCAATTCTAAGACAAGTTAGTGAGAGTGTGAGACTACAAAATCAATGCAAAACCATACTCCAATAGAAATCCAATAGCATCATCTATTACAGAAACAAGTAAAGGTATAGTGCTTCCATTGCATAGGTCGATGCTAAGAAACCAGCTATGGCATTTGCAGCAAATATAATCCCACGTATATCACAACTAGATCTACACAGCACATGCTACTTCTAACTGTGACACATCGTCATTAACAGCTATGGTACACATGGATTCCTAGGAAGAAACCATCAGCCTGTCTCATTGAGCATTTACAGCGTTCATATAGATCAGAGAACCTGGAAACTAGAAGAGCATATGAAGGCAGAAGAATAAACCCACAATTATTTCAAAACAGCAAGCGCAGTGCCACAGCCAGGTAAAGCTGCAGCATACATGCGTTATGCACTTGTGCAAGTTACATATCAAAGGAACTGAAGCCAGTATACTGCAAGGCAGAGAGCGACAAGAAGAGCAAGAAAGACAAACAATTAACAAGATTCTTACTTTCTTTTTGATTTTGCCTCCGGGAAGACGTTTAACTTCTGCAGGTTTCGATGCTGATGTCTCTCCTGCAATCAGAGTGGCAAGCGCATTCCTAAATAACCAACATAGCAGACGAAAATGGAAGAACGGAAAGAAGAAACTAGCCTCTGCCCGTGATAACAACAATTTTACCAGATTGAACAGATGAGGCAGCCCCATCAGCAGCGCCATCGATTGAGATGCCGACAGATTGAAGACGTTCAGAAACCTTGCCAAGGTCGTTTTCATTAGCATCTACACAAAGAATCGCGTAAAATAGAGTAGCCCGTTAAAGTATCGATCTTATATAGGAAAAGGCGCAAAGCCATAGAGAGAGAGGAGTAGGGTTTAAGCGAAGGTGAGAGAGGGCAGTGGAATACCTTTGAGAAGATCAGGGTAGACGTCGGGTGCGTTCTTGACGAGCCATGGCTTGCACTTCTCAAAATCGGATCCAAATTCACAGTACTCCGGCGGGAGAGAGCAGACGCCGCAGTACAAAACTCGCACCGGTTGCGGTTTCTCCGCCATGGAGATGGAAATCGGAAGTGCCTCCTTCAAAATTTGGACACACAACTGCCGCGATATGCTCTCCCTTTTCTGGCAGCAGGTGGGAACTAAATTCGATTCGCGAGCAGAATGATATGCTCTTCGTGCAGAGTAGGTGACGCAAGGAAAATGGATTTTCGAACCCTATTGTTCGTTTCGGCTACCTTTTTCGTTTTACTGATACTGTTCCACGGTTCTCCCAAAAGAACTGCTCTACGGTGCGGTAGACGGTGGCGCCGTGGCGGCCTTGTGGTTAAAATGCAATACTGGTGTTTAGAGTTAAATAAATGGTTCGATTGGTACAATCCGCATCTAACGGTTCATACCGATTTAATAGAATATATATAGAAATGTGAAAATTCATTACTATCAAATGAATTTAAGCCTATATATAAACATATTTGAAGACAATCTACTTATATTTGAAGACAATCTACTTATAATTTACGTTCATATTTAAATAAAATACAACATTTCAAACAAAATAACACAGACTCGTTGTTAAATGCACATTTAACGTCAACATCCAAATCTTTATATTTGAATCCAACAAATAACATCAATATTTAACTTTCAAATCATGAAATATATCATAAATTAAATTCACTAAAACAACATCATTTTGTATAGAGGCTGGAAATCGATAAAGTCGGTCATACCGATGGTATTCCAACCGGATTCATGACTGACACTAATCATAACAGGTTTGACTGCTCGGCATTTCATCCGCACGACAACCATGAACATGACCAACAATACATGATAAGATGGTTACTCCAAAAATTGGGGTAAAATACCTCGGGTACCACTTAAATTTGAGAATTGGGGTAGACATACTACTTAAGTTTGAATAGGGCGTCATGTACCACGGAACTCTATTATATGTGCACCCGGTACCACTAAAGTTTACTACTATGTGCATTGCGTTAAAGTTGACAGAATATTCCGTTTTCGAAATTTTATAATTGGTCCTTTTACTTATCTTATTGTAAAAAAACCATTTGGACTTATGGAAAACATAATTTTTTATTATTTAATTGGAATCCTCTTTTAAATACTTGCTAGCAAATCATTTTTTCAATAGAAAATTTAGAATCAGTTATCATTACGTGTTCTTATAATTGAATAATTTTCTGAAGAAAATATATCTTATAAATTCTATCTCGATATAAATAATATGAGAATGTTGTATTTAGTTCTCTTACACCATGGTGATGTTGTCCAATTTTCTATGTTAAAACTCCTTTTAATTCTCTAATATTATATTGTAGATGTTTCATATTAGTTAAATTTAGTAATTATAATTTTCTTCCTAAAATCATATTTTATTTTTTTACATTTTTTACTAAATGTTGTAGCTTTTATAGTTCATTTATTACTTGAATACTTTCCATCTCTTTTCATTTTAAATATTTTTTCAATTACTGGAATATTTTTTTCCTTATTATTGTGTTCCATTTATCTTTCTTTGATTTTGATGTATTGATGATCGATTAGATTCTATTTTAACTATTTTAATGGTGCTTCTAATTGAATTAGGGTGTTTAAATAGATATTATAATATTAATTTGAAATATTTATTATTATATTCTAGTGTATATACTATTTTTTTAATATTCGTTTAATATTTTTACTATTTTATCTATTTTATAAAAAAAATTTAGTAGCCATTTTAGTAATAATATGCTTAGAAGATTTTCTAATTTTTATATTAGATAAAACTTGTGGAAGTATAGTTTTGAATGTTTTAAAAAAGTTTGGGTTGGATGGAAAAGTAGACGGATGCATATTTTGTCGACTTTAATGGTACCTGACGCCCTATTCAAACTTAAGTGTTATGTATACTCCAATTCTCAAACTTAAGTGATACTCGAGGTATTTTATAAAAAAAATCACTCTCCGCATTACAAGAGGAGCTTGCAAAGAGTGTAACACCCTAACCCGGCGGGGTACTACTTCTACTAAAATGCCCTTGATAAATAAAATACTCAAATCTTAAATTGCAGCGGGAAAAATTTTCACAGATAAAATACTGAAAACACACACTTGTAGTTCAAAGCAAAGCCCTAACATGTGGGCAAATTAAACTCAAACTTTAAAATCTCAATCTGATCTCCAGTCTATACTCATAATCATAAAATGCAAATAACTAGGTAGTCTCTGTCGTTGCTGCTACCGAAAATCTTAACTAGGCCTCCTCCGTGACGCTTACACTGTCCTTCTCTAGCTGGCTGCCCTCGAACTTGCTGCTCACTAACTACTCCTCTAGCTCCTTCTCTAGCTCGTCAAACTGGTGAGTGAGATGGGGTCAGTCTATGCCCTTACGTTTAACGTCTTATTAATACTTGATCACTTTACTTAACTGAGTGGAAGTTGTTTGGTACTTCCACTATTAAAAAGCTTAACTCTTAAAACTGTACTCTTAAAACTCAAATCTCCACTTACATTCTTGACTGACACGGGGATCCCTCACTAGCTAGTCCGGTTGCCAACTCATACGTATGAGAAGTCATCCAGGCTTTCCTTAAATTTAAACTTAGTTAGGGGAGTCGTAACGATTCATCCCCCTAACATCTTAAACTTATTGTGGTGGCTCTTCATCACGATTCTCAAGAGCATAACTGTTGCTCATCTTAAATATCTCAAGAGCATAACTGCTGCTCTGTCTCAAAGATCTCAAGAGCATAACTGTCGCTCTATCTGAAAATCTCAAATGGCAACGGACTGACGCTAGTGATTAAAAACACTTAAAACGACTTCACCTTCTTGAAGGTGAGTTACTTCTTAAAAAGAACTTGTTTCTTAACTTTAACGATAACTTATAAACGGAAAGCTTTAAATTAACTAAGAACTCATGCACATTCACATCAAGCATAGCTCAAACAAAATCACATATCATCAACCATAAGCATTCACAAGCACGGTAACCACATCGCCGAAATACTTGAAATCGTAGTACTTAAAAGAATATATAAGGCGTAGAATTTATCCCCTTTACACTCACCTTATTGATCAGGTCGACTTGGCTTGAGCTAACCAGCCTTCAACGATGATCGCTTTGCCATAGTCTTAGTGGGCTCTAATCTTTATCCTCCTGCTTGCTTAACCGCTCGGCAACTGACGTAGCAGAGAGGCATCCGACAATGGCCACACAATCACGTCCCTAATGCCCGCGTCCGCGATAATCACCTGACGTTGAGGAGAAGATCTGCATTGATGGCCGGGGAGGAAGGGTGATTTCCTGAAGCAGGCAGGTCTAAGCAAGCACCTGACGTAGTAGGGAGGAGATCTCACGGAGGGCGATTGCCACTGCAAGCAAGCTGGTCAGGAAGCAGGCAGCTCTCGAGCCTTAGGAATTGGCGTCGCCAATTAGCTCTCCCTTGTCAGTGCCATCAGTTCCCGGGGAGGAGAGGTCAGGTTGCGATGGAGATTGCAAAGGAAGAGGGCACCGGCGGTTTTAGGAGGATGATTTCCGCTAGCAAGAGTTAGGGTTTAGGTTAGTTTTATGCCAACCCCATGGAGTATTTTGGGAATTTTCCGATTAGTTGGTATCGAGTGAGTTTAATCCGAAACTCAGTTAATATCCTTAACTTCCTCATTTTATGTCGAAACTCGACACAGTTTGGGCCGAGGGATCGCATTTTTAGTCCTCATCGATATTACGATGAAATTAGACAACTTTTCCTGAGGGTATGATAGTCATTTTGAATTTTGGGAAGAGCGGGGTGTAACAAAGAGAACGAAGAAAATAAGCATGTAGCGGAAGTATGCAACCTCAACATCCTCAAGAGGCATGCCAACAAGATGGAGATATTAGCCAAAAAGTGTGGAGTTGGCCCGTCCATTATGGAGCTGCGTCGGGAGATTAATTCAGCCTACAAGAGGATGATGATGCGCGAGGATCAATTAGATGGTATCTTCAATCAATTGGAGAATGACATCTCGAAGATCAAGCTAGAACCTCCTAATTATCAGAAGGTCACAAATGCTGGCAAGGATGACTCAATACTGATGCAACTAGAAGACATAATAAGCATCAAGGAGAAGCATGAAGCCGACAAAGAAAGTCTCAACGAGATGAAGAAGAGATTGGGAGACATCATAAACCATGGGGTAGAAGTTCATATAAAGGCTATTACAATTAATGAGGTAGAAGATGAGTTTACAACTCAACCTTTGGAAGGAGTAGAAGGCGAGAGACCCCTATGGATATTGATGACAATGGGACGTGGCAGATACCTTAATACACATACTCGTCCCGCACTAAGCACATGTTAGGTCGGGGTAATACTTACGCTGGTATTGGACTGAGTAGTTCGACTCATTCTTATATGTTATTTGAAAAGAGACGTCGATATTTAACTCTTTTACAACAAGGCAGAAAACACACTTCATAAATGAACAAGAGATATAGTAGAAGGAATAATTGAGTCTAAATAGTTGAAAGATAGAGTCTAAAAATTTCTTTGGGATGAAATATGATTTTAGAAATGTCGAAAGATGAGAAATACGGGTAGATATTGGTGCAAATCATAATAGACTGGGTCAAGAACGGGACGAGACAAGGCAGGTCAGAAGCAATACTCATGCTCCGCCTCACGCTACTGGGGGTCGGGTAATACTCGCTCCAAATAGGTCGGGGCATGACAGGTCGTGTGGTTTAGGTTAAAAATTGCCATCACTACTTATGGAAGATTTCTATCATTTCCTCCATCTTCTTCAGGTGCAATTTGTCTACGCATCTTCGACCATTGTGGAAATTCAGAAAGAAGTGGATATGGAGACTTCACACAAAATGCTCAACCTAAAGCAAAGCATGGAGATGAGGAGCATCAAGAAGAGCTACCTACTCCATCAAACAATATGAAATTGGAGCCACCAATGAGTGGAGTGGGGGAGAGTCAGAGTCGAAAAGAGGATTCTCGAAAAAGATAATTTGAAAAAAGGCAAAATACACCCGTGTAGCCAAAACTTTGACGGTT